TCTTCCACAAATAATGACTGTTAAGCTGGATGCCTGCATATAAAAGAACTGTACACAGGCCCATTGATACCACCCTGCACAAAACTCAACTCCAGATGGATCAAGGACCTCAACATAAGGCCAAATACTGAATCTGATAGGAGAGAAAGTGAGGAGTAGTCTTGAACTCATTGTCACAGGAAAAGACTTTCTGAACAGGATACTTATAGAACCGGAACTAAGACCAACAACTAATAAATGTATCTCATTAAACTGAACAGCTTCTGTATGGAAAAGGACACCGTCTTCTGAACTAAGTGGTAGGCTACAGGATGGGAAAAGAACTTTACCAATTACACATCTGAGAGTTAATATCTAAAATAAAGAACTAAAGTAAACTAGGCATCAAACAAAACAAATATTTAAAAATGAGATGTAGAACTAAACAGAGATTCTCAAAAGACGAAAAACATGGCTGAAAAACACTTAAAGAAATGTTCGCCATCCTTAGTCATCAGAGAAATCAGAACTGGGTGGAGATTTCATCTTACACCAGTCACAATGGTCAAGATCAACCAAACAAATGACACCTGCCTCATGCTGCTGAAGACACGGGTTAGGGGACCACTCATCCATTGCTGCGGGGGATGCAAACTTATCTAGCCACTATGGAAATCAGTGTGGCAATTCCTCACGAATCTGGGAGTAGATCTACCTCAAGACTCATCGGTACCATTGTCTTAATTAGGGTTGCTGTGGCTGTGATCAAACACCGTGATCAAAAGCAAGTTGGAGAGCAGAGAGTTTATCCAGCGTACACTGTCACAGCACTGTTCATCATCAAAGAATGCCAAGACAGGAACTCAAGCAGGGCACGAGCCTGGAAGTAGGTGCTACTAGCCTAGGGGTGGCCCCACCCACAATGGGTTGGGTCTGCTTTCATCAATCATTAGTTAAGAAAATTCCGCACAGGCTTGACTACAGCCCAATCTTGTGAAGATATTTTATTCAACTGGGCTCTCTCCTCTCCAGGAGCTCTAGCTTGTGACAAGTTGACATAAAACTAACCAGCCCAACTCCTCCTGGGCATACATCCAAAGAACTCTCCACCTTACTACAGAGATACTTGCTCAACCATGTTCTTTGCTGCTCTATTCATAATAGCCAGAAATTGGCAACAGCCTAATTGTCCATCCATAAATAAACAAAATGTGGTACATTTACACAATGTAATATTATTCTGCTGTTAAAAGAAATCATGAAATTTACAGGATAGAAATAGAAAAAAAAACCCAATGAGGTAACCCAGTTGAACACAAAGAAGTCAAGCTGGTGCCTAACTAGAGCCTTCACTCCTACTGAATAGTGCCCATAGTACAGAAAGATACTCTACACACTACCAGAGGAGAAAGGTAAACACCAACCCTGCTACAAACCCTCTACTCTACAACAGCGACCCGCCTGTGTGAGACACTACGGCAGAAGTGGCGCAGATGTTGAGTGAGTAACAACCACTCTCTGGTCACAGCAGAACACATTCCTGACACTGCTCAGGCACCAAGAATATAAGACTAGATAGGCCATGAATGTAAACCAAATGGGGCAAACTAAATACTATTGCTCTGCTAAAGGAGCATAGCAATAAAATTTAAACAAAGGGAGTTAACAATGCTTTTATTTTGTGTTTAAGGTTCTTAGAAATTTGCCAGAATCACTTCTATTTTTGCTACAGAAGGAAAGAGATCCAATGGACTGTGAGTCTTAACATCACCAAAACAAAGACAGGTCATTCACACATCTTGGAAGAAATCAACACTCACTCTTGCATCAAATCCACAACAACACAGTTTATAATCAACAGATTTCATATGAAAAATGTTTTCCTTTCACTTCCACACCAGCTGTCATCCCACGGCTTGACACTTCACAGTGCTGTCACGTGACATCTGTGGATGTTAGAGCATTGCTGTGAGGGCATCTGAAACAACATTGCAGGAGCTTCAATATATGTAGCAAAACACTGAGGTCTTACATGTATTATCACCAGAAAAATCTTCATCCTTTTTAAAATAGATATTATAAGGTGCTGAAACTGGACATGAGTGGGGCCCTAGGTTCAAGCCTTATCTCTACAAAAACTATTGTGTGTGCATGTGTGCGTGTGGTGTGTAAACAGAAACTCAAAAATTCATGAAGTCTAAAAACATCATTTAACTCATTTTTCAACTTTTCCTTTTGCCATCAAGATCAGGGGGCCTATGAACTGCCTAAAATGGTCCCAAAGCTCTGGTGCTGTAATCATTTGCTTATATGACATCAGAGAGACATGACTGTCATACATGTCTTTAGCATCTTGGTTCAGTTCTCAGGGCACAGTATGACTGCTTGTGTGTTATGAGCACAGAGACTCTAAAAGGTTCTCATTTCTAAAATGCATTCTTTCCAGTCACCGGGTGAAGTTTGTGAACGTTTTCACAGTGACTCAGAAGTGGAGGCCTTCTACGGGGAGGAGCAGGTCATAACCCACACAGCCTACAGCACAACTCCAAGCCCCCACTTGGGTGTTGAAGACAGCCTGCAAAGCAAGATAGCAACAGATAGCCCAGACACACCAGAGATAAGCAACTGACTCCCCACCCCTTCTACTGGACACAATGAGCAGACGTTCTTATTTCTCATCTCTCTGTCTATCCCTCCATTCAGTTGTCTACCTGTAATAGATTGGATCCCCCCGGGCCTCCATTCCTATCACACCCTTTACCCAAGCTTGTGCCATGTAACAGGGAGCTATTCTCTATCCTAGTCTTTTTAGGGTTCTGGCCACATGACTTCAGCCAATAAGATATTAACTAGCATGACAAAGGGGAGGCAAGGAACGTTACTTGTATGTTTCCACTTAGCATTTGTAGCCTCTAGCATTAGCCTGGGCAATCCTGCAGAGAAACAGGGACAGAAGAGGCACAGGAAGCCACCTTCACTGACGTAGCCACATTGAATTTGCATCACCCAGTAAAGAGTCAACTTGTTACAAATGCAATCAGGCCCATCTAAGCCCCTCAAACATAGATGCAGCCGGAAGCAAGCACACTCATAAGACACTGAACTTTTACGGTTGCTGGCTGTGTGTCACTATTGGAGCAATGAATCACTTCCACATCCCAGCCAGAAGGAGACCGAAAGATTATTTGCACAAGCTGTTCAGGACACTGTTGCTTATCTGTGATCAGCTAGAAATCAGTCTCATGGACACTTCTACTGCAACAAAGACTGGAATTCAAATCTGTGAACATGACCATGAACCAGAAGTTCTTTTTCTGTGGGAGAGCAGGCAGGGTGAAGGTGAATGCGAAGAAAGTTGTCCCACACTAGCTCAGAATTGAGTGTAATAAAGGGTTATTTATTTAGGGGGCACTCACAGATCACAGGCCTTTGTACAATGCAGGAACAGGAACCAAACCCAACATACAGGTGAGAGAGACAAGAGAGGGACGGTGCCTTTTTGGTACCCAAGGCTAAGTCCAACCAGGTCCAGCCTCTCAGAGGCCATTGGCTGAAGGAGATTTCCCATCACTTCCCCCTTTTGTCTAAATAAGAGAGTTCCAAACCCAATACAAAACTATATACAATAAAACAGATATCAAGTATAAGAATTAGAATTACAACCAGCATAAACAATATTAAGCAAAAAACATATGCTAGCATTTTAATAATTATTATATCCTAAGAAATCTAAGTCTTGTAATAGAGATGACTTGGCTAAGTCATATAAGGAAAGTAACTACAACTATCTAGTCTTTAACGCCATCAGAGACCTGAGAAGGGAGCTAGTGTTACTTGAGTAAGCAGAAAGTGCTATCAAGCAACTTCCAAAATGTGCAGTAGATGACGGAGACAACTGACTACCTGGGCAATCTCCCAAAGTCTCATTTGCAATGTTGGACCAATCAACTTTGGCTAAGGCCTAGAGTAACTGACAGACCATTTTCCAAGGCAGGAAAAATTTTAAAACCATCTTACTCTGTCTTGGCAAGATTTGGCAATCTTTGTTCATGTATCCTGCTTGTCCACTCCGGACACCGTGCATTTTGTCAGTAGTGAAGGCATGGGAAGTTCCTTGCCCAAAGCCCAGTTTTGCCAAGAAGAAAACAAGCTCCAAGTGGAGTGTCTTCAGTGCTCAACATTCCCTTGGGGAATGGATTGGTGCTTCCAGGAGCAATTGTGTCTCACATCAACAGAACCCTAAGTTATTTAAATGCCATATTCTACAGTTCTTTGAAGTGGTTGAAGAATACAATCTCTATATATCTAAAGAACCTGAGTAGTCTAACTATCATTATGACAAACATGGATGACTATTGACCTATAATACTTAATACCTGTATAACTTAAAGAAACTTAAAGACTAAGACTTCATATTAGAATATTAAACAATTTTAAACAACTGTGCAGCAAATGAGGACAATGACCTCAAAATATTAACAATGCATAATTATCTTGATCAGAGATAGAAATGTATAATGCAATATGATAACTATATCTTAAACTGTATCAATATACAAAATGTCTTAAACAGAGGTAGAAACATGCATGCATACAATATAACAAAATGACTTTGCATAGGTATACAAATAATGTAAACAGAAATAGGAGCATATTCAATATAACAAATATAATTTGAATTTGTATCAATATACAAAAATTTATGCTAATGTAAAGTGCCTATAAATAATAGCTCACAAGTATTCACTTTATTATACACTATTATTATTACTTGTATGAGTAAGTTCACATTAATCTACCTATTATCTATTCCAATTTCCTTTTTTGTGAGATTCCTGGGCCTACAAAATTCTACTGGTTAGTAGATATAAATATATATGTACAGAGAACAAAATTTACTCTGCAGATGATCTGTCTACATAAGTAATATTTTTCTTTGCTTGGTGATTCTTTCTGGATAGTTTCATGTGCTAGGAGACTTTGAGCAAATCCTTTACTTCCTACAGCCTGTGTCTCTACAGGTACAAGAAGGACAAGAACGAGATTGCTCTGCAAGACCTGGTAAGTCCCTTCCAGCACCTTCTCGAGTCAGAGAGTGAAGAGTTTGAAGGCATTGAGCATCATTCAGACACAAACAGAAAAAAATACTTATTTACACATGCAGATGACAGCCACCTCCATGAAAGGCCAGCATCCTACCAGAGCCCACAACCTTTCTCATGGTCAAAGATTTGGCTGACTGCTCAGCTTCTGCCTTGGATCCAGTCTAAGGAAGCATAAAGCTCAAAACATTTGGGAAGGGAATGGTTGGGTCTTCAAACAATTCATCTCAATTTTCCTGCATTAAATTATATAGTCTGTACACGTGGTTTACGAAGAGGAAAGAAACCTTTATTCGGAGTCTAATTGCAGCCTTCAGAAGGTTTTTACAGCCTCTCCACTCTGTAATAAAAGGTGTGACCTCCCCCCTTGTGTGCTGGAACAATATTGCTGGGCTTTCAAATATAAGAGCACAGGTGTCTCATCTAACACATGTCAAAACCTGGCAGAACCTGCCAGAGAAACCGAGGTCTAAAGTTTTCTCTTCATTTAAAAATCACTACTATTGAATCTAGGGATGAAATTATACTTTAATTTAGCACCATGAAATTATATAGCTCATAGGTAAGTCAGACATGGAGGGGATACCTTTGCACAGAGTCTAATTAGGGCCTTTTAAAAGTTTTAGAAAACCCTATAATTCTAGAGGAAAGAGAACACCCCCAATACATTATACTCACTTACAACCCAGAAATTCTTCCTTTTTATACCAAGTGTTTATATCTCCCTTTGAATAAAAGGACCCATAGTGACACTGAAGCCCAGGCTCCCAGAATGCTCTTCTGACCACAGACATGATGGCTGCTCTGGATTTTACATGAGATGTATAAGCCATAATATCAAAAGAGCAACACTAGGGATGGTGCGTTCCTAAGATGTTGAGTTCTGGGAGACCTGTAAAAATCAGTAGCATTTGGATTTCCTTTACAGACATGGACACTGGAGCTCAGAAAAGTGACTTTTCCAGTCAGGACTGCATCCCAGGCAGATGGCTCCAGAACAAGGCAACAGCACAGTCAACCTGCTGCTGACACGCTCGTCCCCTTGCGATTCTCACCATACCCAAGCAAGGGTAGGGCACTGGGGAGCACAGTGCAAGTCTCCTTGCTCACCTGCAGGCTTCCACACTCCCTTTACCCAGACGACAGGCATATCTCACTTTATTGCTTTCTGAGAATTTTGATCTTGCTTGTTAGCATCAGAGAGGCATGTGGCTGCCTGAAAGAAACTCAGAGTGATGTAGAAAAGCACAGAATCCTGCGGGGACACATGGTGTGGTTCAACAGTGTCTCATCTGTAGTGATTCTTTTCTCTGCAATGGACAAGGTGGGAAGTGTGGGGATCAGTTTAGAGATGACGAAGGGAAGTGATTGACTGGGCAGAGGCCTGAATCTAGCCAAGGATGGGCTTTTTGGCCATGAACCAAAAATGACTAAGATAATAAGAAAATGTCCCGAAGAAAAACAAGGAAACTGCATGTGGGCTTTCACCCACATACCCTGTTCTGTTGGTGGTTCTCCCCTCAGAGCCATGGTTTCAAAGATGGAGAGAAGAACAGGAATGCCAGGACCAGTGGGAGCCACTCACCAGGTGTTCCTGAAGGTGGCTGGCCACCACAGCATAGCTCCATGGCTTACCCAGTGGCGCCAAGCTCCCTTGAAAGGGACCAGCATTACCAGTGGAACCTAAGACCTTTCAACGCTACCCTAGAGGGTACAGACTGCTGCTGTCTGGCCATGCTCCATGACAAACACCACCACTGTGAGGTTTCATTAAAGAAATGATTTAGTAATTACTCAGAAGCCGTAGTACCTCACCAATGACCTCCATGGCCACAGTATAGATATGGGGATGTGAACTCTGCCTACCTAGTGCAGCCTTTGTATTTGGTGTCAGACAGCTTAAATGATCCTGACAGTACTCACCCTCCCCCTCTCATCCCTACCACACTCAAAAGTCAGCCCATGTGGCAGTCATAATACCCTTCCACACACAGTGAAACTCCTCTCTATTTCCCACAAGTCTCAAATCGATACTGCAAATGTTCTTCTCTGCCTTCAGAGAACAAATAGTTTATTGAGCAAAAATCTGAAAATAAAGTCTATTCTTAGAATGTGAGATTACAGAGGGGGTATTTTTTTTACCAAAAGGTTTGTGGGTAGTTTTTTAACTTTCTTTTTACTTATTCTTTGTCTTTGACATCTTGTCTCCACATCATGTCTCCTGATCTCACCCATCTCTCTCCCTGCACCCTTCCCCCCAAAAAGAATAAACAAAATAAAATTAAGAGAAGAAAGAGGAAAAGGGAGAACCTTATCATAGAAATTGCAGTGTGATACAGTGAGTCACGCAGTGAACCCCTTAATCCATACATTATCATGGTGTGATATGGTGAGTCACGCAGTGAACCCCTTAATCCATACATTATCATGGTATGATACAGTGAGTCCCACAGTGAACCCCTTAATCTATACATTATTACTTGCAGGTGTTCATCCCAAAGGATCTTTGTTCTGGTTCAAAGCCCCTGGTCTCTGCTACACCATCAATGCTGGGCCTTCACTGGGACTCTTCCTGAACACTGCCTTGTTGCCCTGTATCATGGAGATCCTACAGCCCTGGGTTCACAGGAATGAGCACCTCCACACACACACCCGTGCTCCAAAAGACCACAGGCGGGGTGGATGTTAGGGAGAGCCTACAGCCCTGGGTCCACAGGACTGAGCACACACACACACACACACACACACACACACACACACACACACACGCTCCAGAAGACCACAAGCAAGGAGGATGTTAGGGTGGGCCAACACATAACCCTCATTCTGGGCCTGGATTGTTGCAAGGTTGGTCGGCCTGCCAGTTCTTCCATGTCTTCGCCTCCCCAGTGAGCCATCCAGCACTGCTCTGACTGGTGTGGGCAGACTTCTTGTCCTTAGCTCTCCACACCTCATCTTCAGGGCCAGCTCTACTGTGTCATCCAGAAGAGGTGCTGCAACTGATGAGGGGCGGGAACAGCTTTTCTGCTCTTCTGACCTCAAGGCCAGCTCTCCCACCTGCCTCAGGAGTTGATAGGTCGTAGTGGGGAGAGGGCATCTCTCCCCTACCCATGCTGCCACAAGACAGATAAACAATGGGGACAGCTCTCTCATGCTCACAATGTTGTAGGTGGCTCACCCATGCCTCCACCAACATGATTGGCTCTCTTGTGATGCCCAGGTGAGAAACAGGCCCTGCTCTCCCGAGTGTTGCGTCTAGTGAGGGGCAGAGACAGCTCTCCTGCTCTTTTGACCTCAGGGCCAGCTCTCCCACCGGCCTCAAGCTGTAAGAGCCTCAACAATGTTTTTTGTTTTTTTTTTATTGGTAATATATGTTTTTTTATTTAAATTTATTTATTTATTAAAGATTTCTGCCTCGTCCCTGCAACCGCTTCCCATTTCCCTCCCCCTCCCCCGATCAAGTCCCCCTCCCTCATCTGCTCGAAGAGCAATCAGGGTTCCCTGACCTGTGGGAAGCCCAAGGACTGCCCACCTCTATCCAGGTCTCTTAAGGTGAGCATCCAAACTGCCTAGGCTCCCACAAAGCCAGTACGTGCAGTAGGATCAAAAACCCACTGCAATTGTTCTTGAATTCTCAGTATTCCTCATTGTCCGCTATGTTCAGCTAGTCTGGATTTATCCCATGCTTTTACAGACCTAGGCCAGCTGGCCTTGGTGAGTTCCCAATAGAACATCCCCATTGTCTTAGTGTGTGGGTGCACCCCTCGTGGTCCTGAGTTCCTTGCTCATGCTCCGTCTCCTTCTGCTCCTGATTTGGACCTTGAGATTTCTGTCCGGTGTTCCCATGTGGGTCTCTGTCTCTGTCTCCTTTCATCGCCTAATGAAGGTTAATATTCATGAGGATGCCTATGTGTTTGTCTTTGGATTCACCTTCTTATTTAGCTTCTCTAGGAACATGAATTATAAGCTCAATGTCCTTTATTTATGGCTAGAAACCAAATATGAGTGAGTACATCCCATGTTCCTCTTTTTGGGTCTGGCTTACCTCACTCAGGATAGTGTTTTCTATTTCCATCCATTTGTATGCAAAATTCAAGAAGTCCTTGTTTTTTACTGCTGAGTAATACTCTAATATGTATATATTCCATACTTTCTTCATCCATTCTTCCGTTGAAGGGCATCTAGGTTGTTTCCAGGTTCTGGCTATTACAAACAATGCTGCCATGAACATAGTTGAGCATATACTTTTGTTGTATGATAGGGCCTCTCTTGGGTATATTCCCAAGAGTGGTATTGCTGGATCCAGGGGTAGGTTGATCCCGAATTTCCTGAGAAACCGAAACACTGCTTTCCAGAGTGGTTGCACAAGTTTGCATTCCCACCAGCAACGGGTGAGTGTACCCCTTTCTCCACAACCTCTCCAGCAAAGGCTATCATTGGTGTTTTTTATTTTAGCCATTCTGACAGGTGTAAGGTGGTATCTTAAAGTTGTCTTGATTTGCATTTCCCTGATCGCTAAGGAAGTTGAGCATGACCTTAAGTGTCTTTTGGCCATTTGAAGTTCTTCTGTTGAGAATTCTCTGTTCAGATCAGTGCCCCATTTTATAATTGGGTTGATTAGCCTTTTGCGGTCTAGTTTCTTGAGTTCTTTATATATTTTGGAGATCAAACCTTTGTCAGTTGCGGGGTTGGTGAAGATCTTCTCCCAGTCAGTGGGTTGCCTTTTTGTCTTAGTGACAGTGTCCTTTGCATTACAGAAGCTTCTCAGCCTCAGGAAGTCCCATTTATTCAATGATGCCCTTAGTGTCTGTGCTGCTGGGGTTATACGTAGGAAGTGGTCTCCTGTGCCTATGTGCTGTAGAGTACTTCCCACTTTCTCTTCTATCAGGTTCAGTGTGTTCGGACTGATATTGAGGTCTTTAATCCATTTGGACTTGAGTTTTGTGCATGGTGATAGAT